ATTTTTTCTCGTGAAGCATATATTAAATTAGAACCATACAGAACTAAGTAATAAAAAAAATATAATGATTCACAGTACAAAAGTTTAAAATAAAACTAATAGAATAAACAATAGTTGTATTGCATCAGTGAGGATGGACCATTCCCAGTTCTTTACCTAATTAAAAGGTAATTGATTGCAAGGTAATTCATAATATTTCATTAATAATACTATTCAATTAAGGGGATTCAACATCGACGTTTAAAAGAAAAAAACGCTCCAGAGATGGCGTTGTTTACTGTTCGACAGTCCCCACTCTTAAAACAAAATCGCTGGTACTATCGCGGTCGGCAAACAGTTCCTAATAATTTCTGGAGCGTCACGTCATTCTATAATCGGCAACCGTGTTGTCATTTATATTACTTTTACATTACACGTATATTCTACACATGCATGACTGTACTAGTTTATATACTTATACTTATAATACTTGCATATTTACGTTTTCAATTTATGATGTATACCGCCTAAATAATATTACGGTATTACGCTTAATAATATGGAAGCTTTGTACCATCATAACAATTATATTTTTTATCACAAATACCCATTATAATATTATGAAACGATGATTTATTTTTCATAAATCACTACCTACCAATTATTTCTTCTTTAAGGCCGGTGTCACACGGACGTACAAAATACGTCGATACGGGCTTACTGTTTAACGTGAGTTGTAGAAGTACATAATAGCTTACAGGAGTGGGCACACGAGCAACGTGCGCTAAAAATAACGTGTGTTCGGACGGACGTCAATTTCTTATCGACGTATTTTTCATAGTACGCAAGTTCAAAATTATCAACGCACGTTTAGAATTATAATAATTCCAATATAAAATAATAATAATGTTTGTTTTAAAACTTTACCATGTCGACCACATAAAACGATAAATACTTATAGAATAATAAATTATTATGTAATATATAATATACTTAATATTAAAAAGACAATATAATAAAAGGTGGAGGTACTTGATGTAATTACTTTTCAATATTTTTAAATTCTAAAACTAAAAATGACTGTAATACCTATATATAAAAATTTAACATACATAAATATACCAACCTAACACAACTGCATTTTAATTTTAAGTTAATTAATAAGGATTATACTTTTGAATAAAGTAGGTATAGGTATATAAAATAAAATAAAAATATAATATTAATATTGTAGTTAAAATCAGATTTACTTTAAAGTAAAAATAATTAAATGAGTAACTATTTTTTATTAATTTTTATTTGTTTTGCTTCTAAGATGTAATCAGGATTACGAATTGGCATAGATCTAGGATGCCTAGGGTCAACTAACTCTGGTAACAAACAATTGAAATAAAATTGTTTTAATTTGGGAAATATTTTTTGTATTCCACAAATTGTCGTCCCTTTCAATTTTTTCAAATCGTATGCCTTTTTTAGTCCAAAACATAATGATTCCATATTTTCTTCCAGTTATTTGCAACTGCCCTTGTACTTGATAATAATACTTATGAATAGTATTAATTCCAGTTATTTCTTTTTTTTTGTTTATTTTCCAAAATGTAATTTTTTTATTCAATATAGCTTCTTCTGGGTCCATATCAGCTGCCGAAAATGGACATTTAATTTCTACCAAAGTATCATGTCCAATTAATCCATCAGGAGTTGCTCCTAAGAATATATTATTGGAATCAATGAATAAACCACACTCCATTATTTCAACACCTAACGCTAATTCCAAATCTTTTTTCGCGTCCTGCTCGTGTTCTCGTCCGTATTCCATCGCTCTAGTGTTAGATCTGGTGAATACAACATGCTTTTTAAAATTCCTTCACAGCTTGTATCTGGCCTAGACGATATTATTTGTCCAAAGTTGGATGCTGTTAATAAATATCTTCTCAATTCTAACCATTTTCTAGATTGACTTTGTTCGACTGTTTCTCTTTCTATTTCTTCTCGATTAGCAGCTATTTCTTCTAGATATTTTAAAATTCTTTCTTTTTCATTATTAAAATCTTCTTCCGACATATCCGGTTTTTGAGAAAAGAGTCCATACGATTGTTCATCATTATTTTCTTTCGTAAATTTTATCCGTTTTCTGTATGTATTAACTCTAAGTTCGTTTTGACGCACACGTTTGTTATATCTTTGTACTTCAAGTCGAGTTGATGGAAACTTCACAGCAGGACTTCGATTTAATAATGTTTTATACAAAGTATACATAGGACGTTTTGTATTTTTTTATAACTGTTGCAGCAGCACAACGTCCTTGATAGGAACGGGATTTTGCAAAATGTATTCTTTTCCCACCAATTAACTTGGCGATGATTCCATTCAGTGATTCTACGACATTACTGTCAACATTTTGAAGTAAACTGTTACTATGTCTAGCTAAAAATCGTAAATGTTTCAACACATTAGAATAAAAGTCAAAATCTATAGCTTTCATTTATTCAATATAGTTGGTTTCTTTAGGTTTACTACAAAAATAAGAATCACATTTACTATGTTCTCCAAAGACATGATCTACAGAATTTATAATATCATTTTGTAAACTTCTTGATGAATGATTATTACTTTTACGATATTGAACTGCCTTAAAAATACCTTTTCTAATTCTTAGAATATTTTTTCCCTAGTAATTGTCTGTGTTCTAATTTTCCAGAATGCTTCTGAGTAGTCAAATCTCTTAGTTTTCTACATAAATTTCTAAGCAAATGGTTTCTGCACTCTACTTTTTCAACCGTCAAGTGTTTATAAGGTCGCGCATCTAATATTTGCTTATACACACTACTATCGCCATCAGCTATTAGTTTATGGTATCTAATGCCATATGTCGATTCACTTTGTTTAAACTCTTCCACCACTATTGACGCTTCCATACCAGCTGACCCATCTGATGACTTCCAATTTTTAAAACAATCGTGTTTTTTAGGTGTTTCATTAGGTTTAACTCTCGCACACACCGAACAAAACTTATTTTTAACTCCAAAATATAGTACTTTTTTTGTACGATAACCAACCAGTGCAGCCTGAAAAAAATTATAGGTACAATTTAAATACAATAACATCTCTACTAAAAACAAATTATAATATAAATGTACCTAAGTTACTAAACTAATTATATATGATTCAATTATAATTCGGGACTTCTTGCATTTGCATGTTTTTTTGTAGTGGTCGTAGATTATTCTAGGTAAGTTATAAATTTGTTTTATGAAATTACAAAATTAAATATAAAGTTTGAATTTGTATACTTTTGTATATTTTGTCATATTTTAGGAAAAGTACATATTTCGTATTTTTTTAATTTTTATGGATGTAAAATTGTAGGGAAAAACCTTAATTGGATAACGTTGAAAAATATTTAAGTATTCTAATTTTAATCATAATTTTATCCTAAATTTTTAAATAATTTTCTTCCAGTTAATTTTTTTTTGTAATATTACTGCGCTGTATAATTACATAATTATATAAATACATCATTGTACAATTAATATATTCTTTCTCCACGCTTAAAACTGTTTTGTACAATTGTACGATATAATATAAAATAGTTCAAATTTTATTAGGTATTTGCTTTTTTGTTTGGGAATTATATTATTTTTAATGGGTTAAATTTTTCCTGGTGCTTGGGAATATGTAAATATTTTTTTTCTAAAAGACAATTATATCTAAATAAAATTAAAGATACTATTGAATGTATATGACAATAATGAATATTTTACCATTCCTGATGGAGAATTATACATTGTTTTGTAAGACCTCTTACACCAACTTCCATCTGCTACAACTGCTACTAATGGGGTTCCATCTGTATCGATGTCTCCAGCTTGTATTGCCAATTCAGCCTCAATCTTAGCAGCATCGTCCATAGCTTTTATTGCTGCTAGTTCATAACCTTGACATACAGTTCTGTGTTCTTTATTATATGTTCCATAGTTTACAGTCGGTACTTCTAACGCACATGTTATTTCTTGCAAGTGACTAAAACCGCAGCCAATGTTTATAAATCCAGCTACGGCTGCTGTGTTTATTGACATCATATTTTCATCTTCCGTTGATATTTTGCTAATAGTGTTACACATATCACATTTAAAAACAAAAGTGGATTTAAAACCATATTTAATTTCTTTAATAATTCGCATATCTTTAAAACTGCAGTCAAAAGGTTTATGACTATCAATCAATTTAATTGCATTAAATAAATGCGAAATATTCACAATTCTTCTTCCGAGTATATCTGCATCTGTATTTAAATTTTCTTTTAAAGGAGAGGTTGAAATATTTAAATCTGAAGGTTGAGATATATCGTCAAGTGGTAAAGCTAATATTTCATCTTCTTTAGAATCCAAACAAGTAACTTTTCCGTGCATATGTGGTTGAAAGGGAATACTTCCATATCAAAAAAAAAAAAAAAATATGTATATTATTATTAATATAATAAGAAATTATTCACCACAAATATAATAAATGTATTCAAAATATTTCCAATTATCGTATGTATACAATATAATAATATACTTTAAAAGTTTCAAGTACCCACGGGCCACAAATAATATTTTTAAATTACAACAAAATGGTACTTTCGGGTTATATCGACAACTGAAATATTTTCTACATTACTTGGTATAGACTTCCGGGTTATCTCGATTAACACAATTTTTAAATAAAAAAGTATGATGTTATATATTATAACATGGGCGGATAGGCTTACCGGGAAACCGGGCATTTCCCGGTGGGCCCTCCTTCATATTTTTGTAATGGGGCCCTTTATTATGCAATTACTTACGTTAGAAATTTGAATTTTAAAATAAAAAAATTATAATCATATATATATCTATTACTATTTACAAAAGATTTCTTATTGGCACGCAGCCGCCGCATTTTACTCGTACATTTTCTAAATTAAATTTTGTAAAAAATTATTTAAGAAATACAATAGGTCAGAATGTATAAGAGAGTATGTTGTTAATAAATGTAGAGAAAAATATTTTCAAAAAAAATTGATTCTGAACACATCATTAATAAATTAGGAGCTAGGAGCCCAGTATTTGGTAGAATGTTATTATTTTAAAATTAAAAACTAAATAAATGATTTTTAAAATCTGTTTTGTTATACATTGTTGGGTTATGTGTTATGCTTTGTTTTGACGCGGTACTTAATAAAATTCATATAATAATGTACTTGAGAGCGACTTTTTTTTTTTTGTGGGGGCCCCTTTTTAAAATTTCCCGGTAGGCCAAAAAATGGCCTATCCACCCATGTATTATAATAACTGCAAACGAATTGCGTGCACAATTTATTTGTAACAGAGCGGAGTTGGTTCGAGTATTTTTCGGCACAGGTCTGAATTGCGTGCGTAAAAGTTAGAGAATCAGAAATAGAAAAATTTTTAAAATTGTTTTTTTGGACTATTATTTCCATTCGAAACTCAATAATATGTAATACGAATAGGTACCTATAATTCATTTTTATTTTGTACCACAAAATATATATCTATTATCTATTATTTATTATTATTTTATATAATATAATAACATGTGTATTGTGAAATAAAGTAAATTTTCACTGAATTTGTAGTGCATTTTTGATCAATTCTTTGAAATCTAAACGAACTAATTTGGTTATTCACGCAATTCGACCTAGATAATGATTTCCGCTAACCAAAAATACCAACAAAATCAATATTTAAAATTAAAAAAAAAAAATACGTAATTGTAAAATAAAAATATACTTACTTTTCATTTTCACTAATCGCAGTAGTATCGACAGAAAAAAGAATCGTTATTCTATAAATTATATATGAATTCAAAAATTAATTTAAACTGAAATAATATCCTTTAATTTTGTCTTTCTTACTTTGTCTGTAGTTTTCATTAACGCAGATATATTTCCCAGGTGCTTTTTTCGTCTAGATAAAAGCACCTTTGTTTTTTTACCTTTCCTCCAATTTTTTAAATTATCCATTATAAATTATAATTTGAAAATAAAATTTCACCATGCAGTTGAGGAATGAAATTTCAAGTTCATACCTCGATGAGTAATGACAGAAATACTAGTTATATTATTATATTATTATAGTATTTGTACTATACAATTACAATAGGTATTATAGCCATAGTCGGTTTCCATACAGCCGTAGAAGATAATATTGGTATTATTATTATTATGATTCTAAAAATATTATCTTATCGATACCGCAGGCGCCACACTAGTCTTAGTTGTGAAGTAGTGTGAGAGTGGTGGGGAGTAGCGCGAAATGTGACGCACGTACAGTAGTTTCAATCCGCAACGTCATAAAACGGTGTTTTTCATAAATTAATTATTGTTTCCGGTCTCAAAAGGCTCATAAGCAGTATACAACTGTGGGATTTTGAATAATCGAATTTAAAATCTGTAAAAAGATTTAAATTTGCCGGTCTGTCTACTGGGGAATGATCGAACAGTTTTTTTAAATGATTAAAAATCTATTTATTATCAACGTTTAAAATTACAGATTTGTAATATTTAATTACTAGGCCAGTAATGAATTTAAAAAAAAATCGCCTCGATCGATCTCTAGAAGACAAATTGACAATTTCAAAACTTTTTTCAGAGTCAAAATCCGACCTTCCTAACTTCTACAGTTTTATACCGCGTTAGGGTTGATATTTATATCAATGTTGAATCCCCTTAATTCTAAAATTAAAATTACTAATGTGAACAGTAAATCTTAAAAT